CTTCTTGTTGCTTTCCCATCCTTAGGGAGTTGGCTCCATTTTTGTGCCTGAAAATGGCTCCCCACCACATCCTGGCTCCAGGCCCACTTGAAGGGAAAATAGGAAAGGAAGCGCCAGACCCCTAAGTTGAATACATTACTTCCGCTTACATTCCACTTATTGTGCTATATTTGGATCTAGCTTAAACCATTATTAGTATGGGAGATAAAGGATATTTTGAGGACAATTAACAAACTCTGCCACACACTTATATGATCCAGGTCTCTTAAAAAATGGTTTTAAAAAGCAACAGCTAGCCGTTGATGCTTTGGCTGATGCATTGCTTCCATCCTAGTTCCCTTGAGATTCTTACTAGTATTTGGAGCAGGGGGTGGAAGTAGTAAGAAAAAAGTAAAGAAAAGCTTTTCAATATGGTCTCAGTCCATTGTACAGCGGTATACCTGTGCTGTCACAGCAAAAAGTGTAACCTCTGCACAGTTTCACAAAGAGCCAGATGATGACTCTGATCACCACACCCTGAATGCACACTAATACTATAACATATTAAAGATATAACAAATACAAGTAAGACTATGAGGCTGAATGTACACCTTTCCTATGTAGCTAAAATCTCAATAATTTGAATGCCCTTCACTTTATTCTTTGCAGGTAGGGAGTTTTCCTATTCGGGGTCTTTATCAGCCTAGTTTCATGCCCTGTTGACCCTCAAATTCCTGCTTCTTTGATGCCCACCAGGCTGAGCTTCAACACTCTCCATGCTCCCACAGGAAGCCCTGCAGTCTTGAGCACATTCCACAGGACGCACTTCCTTCCTTACCTACTCGGAGCACTGTGGCTAATAAGTACACATTGTCTTGGTTAGGGTTCTCTGCTGATGGGAACCCCTTCAACTTATCTCTATGGATGTAGGTGGAAGGATATTTATTGAAGGGATTTGGGGGATATCAGGGTATATAATTTTAGAATACAGAGTCCTATTTCACAGAAAGTGGAAAGTCATTGGAGAACTACGCTTTCTGGGATCAGATGAGCTTTCATCTCTGCTTCTCTGGGTATGTCCATTTGTTTCTTCACCTCTAGCCCATCTATTTCTGATCTTTCCAAGGCTTTTGAGGTTCACTCAATTCTCTTCTGAGGCTTTGATTTGCCATGGTATCATGTTTGTCCCAGTGCTCCCATAGCTGAGAGCTCCTCTGCACAGTATGAACAGCCTCAATCTCTGTATTTTGGTTCAACTTCTGGAATGAGAACATCTAATTGGCTTAGCCTGAATCAGGTGTCTACCCCTGGTTCAATCAGTTGTAGCCAGAAAAGTGGAGTCACCTGAGACAGGCATGACCAAAGAGTGGAAGACAGATTCTCTTAGAATGGGTTGTGAGTGGGAAGATGACTGATATATCTAGTATAAACATAATCTTTTTATATCTTTAACCCCAGTGCAGAGTTA